ATTCTGACTTGAAATGGTCACCAGTTGGCACTGAGTATCTGATGGCATCCTCTGAGGCTCCTTTTGGCCCCACTTGAGTCTGATAAGGGACTAAATGGGGAACATCTACAATTTTGTTTTGTCTGATCAGAACTAACGTTTCATAGAGGCCCTCCCACACTAAAAAAGTCCAAGGAAGAATGTATCATTATGTCCAGAGAGAGACAAGGTGGGATCACATGGATGGCTGCAGCCTGATGTCCACTAGTGTCCTTATCATGACCCACTGTGTCGTGCCTGCCACCCCTAAAGATGAGGCTTAGTCTGCGGCAGGTGAAGGAGGAAGGGCAGGCTCTTGGCTCCGCTCAGTTTTCATGTGCTAGCCTCCGACGAAGAGGAAAAGCTTGAGGGACTAATAGATGAAGCAGCTGATAGGGGGCGCCTTGATTTAAACCAGGGACTCCTTGTTCTGTAATCAAATGCCCTACCTCTAAGTCATGCCCTGTAGCCCACAGGAACACCTGCCAGTTAATACCTTCCTCTTTGGGCAGACCCCTTGCCATTGTCAAAGGTTCCATGGTGCTGCTGATCCTCCAGGGCAGGGGTAGGGAACCTGCAGCCTCAAGGTCACATGTGGCCCTCTTGGTCCTCAAGTGTGGCCCTTTGACTGAATCCAAACTTCACAAAATAAATCCCCTTAATAAAAGGATTTGTTCTCTAAAACTTGGACGCAGTTAAAAGGTGGTATCCAAGGACCTAGAAGGCCTCAAGGCTGCAGGTTGCCCACCCCTGCTCCAGGGCTGTGGTTGAGGCTTCCTCTGAGGCAGGCCACTTGAAGTAAATAGACTGGCAGAGGGCACTGTCTTGTGCCATCCTGTCATGGTCAGGCAATCTCTGGGATCAAATGTAAATTCCTCTCTTTGGCATTCAAACTTTTTTATGACCTCTCCCTCTGCCTTTTCAATCTTGTTACACTTTGCTCTCCCCCCTGCACTCTACAATCCAGTGATATTCAAGGTGAGATTTATATCCTGAAGCAAATGATATTAGTCTGACTTCTAAGCTACAAATCCATATAGAGACTAGGCTGGCCACTGGCCTAAAGAGAAATAGGTTGTCTCCCTGAAGTGATTTGAGATGTCAAGGAGCTATTTTTTTCTGTTACATTTATTTTTTTATTAACAAATTTATTTATTTTTAGTTTCCAACATTTACTTCCACAAGATTCTGAGTTCCAAATTTTCACCCCATCTCACCCCTCCCCCCACCTCAAGAAGGCATGCATTCTGAATACCCCTTCTCCTAATCTTCCCTCCCTTCTATTTCTCCCCACCTTCTCTTATCCCCTTCCCCTTCTATTTTGCTATAGAGCAGGATAGATTTCTGTACCCCATTTCCTGTATTTCTTATTTCCCAGTTGCATGTGAAAACTTTTTTTTAAACATGTGTTTTTAAAACTTTGGGTTCCAAATTTTCTCCCTTCTTCCTTCCCCACCCACCCTCATTGATAAGCAAGCAACTCAATATAGGTTATATATGTGCAGTTATGCAAAACTCTTCCATAGTAGACATGCTGTGAAAAGCTAACTCTATTTCCCTTCATCCTATCCTGCCTTCCCATTTATTCTATTATTTCTTTAGATCCTGTCCCTCCTCAGCTGATTAGTCAAAGACCAGTCTTCTTCTGGAATGTAAGCTTGGCCTGGGTGAGTGCTTGGGTGGCCTGGAGGCCAGTCTTTGGCTTACTAAATCTAGGACCACCTTTGTGGGAGGTACCTGACCTCCTGCCTCCTCAGTCTCAGAAATGATATTGACCACCTCCTGGAACTCCTTGTTTATCTCGGCGGGTGGGAGGTAGCCTACGACATTGGTCCTGTCTCCCAGGGCCTAAGCCATAGCACAGGATTNGCGGTCTTCTTGATGCCTCCTGGAACTCCTTGTTTATCTCGGCAGGTGGGAGGTAGCCTACGACATTGGTCCTGTCTCCCAGGGCCTAAGCCATAGCACAGGATTAATATGTTCTGGCCCTACAGAAGCTAACCATGGTCATATATCTCTTTAGTATATGACCATGACCATATGACCACATGACCTGATCCTGGATTTACCCCCAGGCCTTCTGATTCCCAATCCAAGTTTTTGTTTTACTGTAAAAACTGTCACTCCATTTGACTGCTCTGCTGTCTGAAATTCCACCTTTAGAAAATTATTCCTATGGGTTAAGGCATTGCTTCTCCAGCACCTACTTTAAAATGAAGCCTTCCTTAGAGGAGTAACTTTCTAAAGTGCTATCAATTCTATCAGGAGTAAACTCCCCTAAACGTTATCAGAAACTAGCTCACAGTAAGGCATGAATTAAATGAGCTCAGAGGCAGTAGGAGTTTCAATGTGGGGGGCAGGCAGAGGAAGAAAGAAAGAAGGGAAAGTTTGGGGAGCTTGGGCAATAAGTCATTTAGGTGGAAGGACATCTGTCGACAGGAATGTCCAAGAGGAAGGAGGTGGGAGGAAAGAGAAGACAAATGATTACCATTTCATTGACTGTTCCAGCCTTGCAGGTGGTGCTCATCTTTTATGAGTACTTTATTTTTCAAATCTGGATTTCCTAAGAAAAGACAGGCTCTGGAAGTGCTCACTTATTCCCTAGATGTCATGGCCAGGTGGGGCTGCCTTGGCATCTTTAGGCAACAGACTCAGGTGCTCTTAGGCTCTGTGGGCCTGGCAGCATTCCAGGGCTGTCTGGAGTCACAAAACCTCAGTTCAATTCTAATCTCAGATGCTGTGGGACCCTGGGCAAGTCATTTAACTTTGATTGCCTCCGTTTCTTTGTCTGTAAAATGCTGCTAATAATGTAATCTATCTTCCATTGTTGTGACGATCAAATGAAATATTTGTAAAGCCCTTAGACTCAGTTTGTCACTAAAAGGTGCTTAACAAATGCTTGTTTCCTTCTTCCTTTCTGTAAAATGGGGGGGGTCCCTCATTTTGTGTCACGGACCCCTTTGGCAGTCTGGTAAAATCTATGGACCCACCCCTCCTTAGAATGCTGCTTTTAAATAATGGTGGCAAATTCTAAATTCTTGTTAGAGGTTAATGAAAATAAAGAAGTAATTTTTTTTTCCAATCCAAATTCACAAATCCCCTGAAATCTGTCCACAGACTTCTTGAGTTAACCCCACCCAGGGAGATGATGTTTAAGGGCCCTTCCAGCTCTAACATTCTATGATTCTGTGTCTCTATGGACTTCTCTCTACCCTAAGAGGTATGGACCTCTGCTAGAACTGACATCACATGTTAACTGACCTCTGGCTCTGTCTGGCTCTCACCTTTGGCTCACTCAATTGCCATAGACAGAGGTTTTGAACAGCTTGACCTTCTATCTTTTCCAAAATCCTAGTCCTACATGCATTTATTATCTCTCTGGCTAGCTTTAAAACTCCTTGAGGGCAGGAACTGTCATAATTCTTTGTATTATGTACCCAATCTAACACAAGACTGGGTATACATTCGTCCCTTCATACTTCCCCATTCCCTCCTCTCCAGTTCATCCCTTCATTCTGTATCTCTATAAGTCATTGTGAATGGTCATAGTGCCTCACTTTATTTTTAATAACCTTCCTTTATCTTTTGATAATCTCTTTTGTCCTTGGGTCTCAGTTTACTCACCTGTAAAAGGAGTCAGTGGTTGGACTTGATGTCTAAGGTGCTTTCCAGCTCTAATATTCATTTCTTTGGCTTCTCCCTTAAAATTTATTTTTTCTAAACCAGTTAAAGCATTCTGTCCTCCTCTCTGTCCTCTAACATGGGCCAGATGTCGAGACTGAGAGTTTAGTACCTTATCTACTACATGGTGACAATCATCTTTCTTCTCAGCAAATGCTTATCATTTCTGTCCATTTTCATCCAACCTGTTCAATTTAGATGATGAGATGAGGCAGGAAAGAGGCTTGGTGCTATCTTTCATACATATTCAAACTACTTTGTAATGGCAGTAACCTTGCTGCCCCAGAGGGGGCTGCATTGCAGGCCCCCCAAGAAGGGGTCTTCAGTTCTAAAGGAAGTGTATTTGCCCCACGGAGAAACATTTCCACATAAGTCCAGCCCTCAGTTTCCCCTTATCTAAAGCCCTAGGAGTTGCCCAGGTTGGGGAGTACCATCACTGTGGCACTTGATTATCTTAGTTTATTTATTATACTACTTTCTAGGCCCTGTTTTCTGATTGTCTCCTCAGTCTTACTTCCTCAAAATGAGATTATAAGCCTATAGAAGGTAGTGACAAGTCTTAAATTCCTGACAAACTTTACCTAGCAAAGGACTGAGCATCGTGGGAGCCCAGAAAAGGCCAGCCCACCGAACTGACACTAGGCAAGAAGTGGCCATACCATACTCCAGCCAGTCCCACGCCAACCCCCAAAGTAAAATAAAGCAAAAACAAAAACAGCAAACAGGAAACACTCGTCTTTTAAAAATTACTCTATTATTATCAAATAGAACCACAGTATCCAAAAGGTAATTATAAAGTTCTATCCCCAACTAAATCAACCTGCACCACCCCCAGGTGACCCCCAGAGGCCGGCAGCCAAATCACTCCCCCCGTGCTGATTGGTTTCATCCATTTTATTGTCAAGGAAATTAACAACCCAAGGGGGTTCCCCAGGCCCTCACTCTCCCCCTTGGGGCAAAGGATGAGGGAAGGATGGCAGAGTGCAACCTGGTCTCACTACCCCCTATTTTCCTGGGGGAAGAGGGTGGGTTGGGAGGTTACAGTGAAGGAGTATACTTCCCCTCGGCCCCCCTGTCCTCAATCTCCGGGGTTTGCTCTCCTCTAGGGTGGCAAGGAGGCTGGATGGGTACAGAAGCGGGATCGTGCCTTGTTTGCCCTGCCCCTGAGTGCCACCCTATGAGAAGCTGGGCCCAGGAACAAGGGGGAAGCCTGGCTCACTCTCCGGTGTGAGTTCTAAGATGGTACTTGAGCGACTGTTTGTAGCGGAAGCACTTGGCACAGTGGGTACAGGGGTAGGGCCGCTCGCCAGTGTGTGCCCGCTGGTGCTCCAACAGGTGGTGTTTCTGAGTAAAGCGCTTGCCACACTCGGTGCAGTGGTAGGGCCGCTCCCCAGTGTGGATGCGCCGGTGCTCCAGGAGGTGGTGCTTGCGGATGAAGCTCTTGCCGCACTCGGGGCAGGCATGGGGCCGCTCCCTCGAGTGCACGCGGCAGTGGTTGGTGAGCTTGGACTTCTCGCTGAAGCTCTTCTCGCACTCGGGGCACTTGAAGGGCCGCTCGCCCGTGTGAGTCCTCTGGTGCCGCAGCAGGTGCGAGGGGCGGCTGAAGCTCTTGCCGCACAGGCTGCAGATAAAGGAGACCTCGTGCTTGCCCGCGTGCACCCGCTGGTGGATCACCAGGCTGATCTGCAGCCGGAAGCTCTTCTTGCACTCTGGGCAGGTGTATGGGCGCTCCCCAGTGTGCGTGATCTGATGCTTGGTCAGGCTGGACTTGTGGCTGAAGCTGCTGTCGCACTCGGAGCACTGGTAGGGCTTGGCCCCGCCGCCGCCCCCGCCCCCGAGGCCAGGAGACTTGGGCCGGGGCTTGAGGGCGTGCTTGGGGTTGTAGGTGGGCCCGCGGTCTGGGGAGGCGTAGCCGCCGCGCACCCGGTGGATGCGCTGGTGCAGCGTGAGCTGCTGCTTGTGGCGGAAGCTGATGTCGCACTCGGCGCACTCGTACGAGCCCTCCTTGATGTGGTTGCGCTGGTGGATGATGAGGTTGATCTTGAGGCGGAAGCTCTTGCCGCACTCCATGCACGTGAAGGGCCGCTCGCCCCGCCGGTTCCGCTGCTGGTTGGCCGCTGCCGCGGCGGCCGCGGCCCGAGGCTCGCTCAGGGAGGGCGGCGCCAGGCGCTTCACGGCGGCGCGGCCTCCCAGGTGCAGGTGCGGGTGCGGGTGTGGGTGCGGGTGCGGGTGCGAGCGGCCCTCGGGGCCCTCCGAAGGTACGGTCACGGGAAGCTGGGCCGGGAAGAGCCCGCCGTCGTATCTGTCGGACAGCGGCCCGAGCGCCTGCAGGTGCTGCGCCTCCTCCTCCTCTTCCTCCTCGTCGTCGTCGTCGTCCTCGTCCTCCTCGTCCTGCTCCTCGGTTTTTATCACGATTCCCTCGGCTGTGGGGAGAGAGAGCAACGGAGAGGCCCCGTTAGCAGCGAGGCAGCGCGAGGGGGCCGCGGGGGGGAAATCAGTCCGCAGCAGGGAGCCGGCCCAGCTGGTGGGCGCTCCCGGATCGCGTGCTTGGGAGCCGCCTCTGTAGGTCGGCTGGCCAGGGTCCCCGAGCGTTCCCCCACCCCACCCGCACACCTCCGCTTTGCCGACCTCCCCCGGCACTCGGGACTGTAGACCTGGAGGGAAACTTAGCAACTCGAAAGTCTGGCACCCCCATTTGCCAAAGGAGGGAAAGAGAGATGGGCGATGACTCGGTGCAGCAGAGCTGGGAGCAGGCCACAGGGGGTCTGACTGCAGCAGAGCTAACCCTGGAAGCCAGGTGTCTGGATCAGGACTCCCAGCCTGTTGCTCCTGACTCAGATGCACATGTACCTCCACACAGGCATGAAGCAGAAGCATCCTACCAATGTGGCATTTAATCAAATGAAGGGGACAGCTGGTCCCATCGTCATTACTCTGTGGGTACGAAATGCCGGGCTGCTGTGGCAGTTATGTCTGGTCTAATTCAACAAACTTTTTAAGCACCTATGATGAGTTTCAAATTTTATTCCTTTTCTTTTCAATTTAACAATGTCATAGCAGGACACACTTTGGTGGCTGCCAGGCCTATGACCAGGCACTGGTCTGGGATCTCCACAAAGCTCTCACCTGAAAGAGGCCCAGATTTTTCCCTGCTGTAACACCCAGGTGCGGGTTTCCCCTGCCCACTTCTGGCCTTTCAGTCATACAAGGAGCAGTGAGTCCCTCAAGGCAAAGGGCCTATGCTTGTCAGTCCCTGCCTTCCCATCTTACCTGCACAGTTTCTCTGCTGCACCAGCATCTGCTTCATTTCACTGAAATCCCTGGTGTCGTCAGGGGATTCCCCAAGCCTAGCCTCCTGCTGTGTCTCTGACTCAGGCTGTTCCCCACAGGCTTCCCCCAGCTCTGACTCCTGAAAGCCATGTTCTTCTACTTGTCCTGCCAGTGGTTCTGGTGTTTCCAGGCTTTCTGAGCCTTCATCATTGGTCTGTACTTCAATTTTTATCACAATTCCATCATGTGCTGAGAGAAAGGGAGAAAGAGAACTCAGGAAATACACTTCACTTTCACAGACACACTTAAGTATTTTTTTTTTTTTTGTATTAACACTTATTTATGCACCTGTTACATTCCCATGTAAGCTCCATGAGGGTGAGGGCAAGGAACATCTCTTCACATCTCTGGCGCTGGCATGCTACAAAACCATGCTACCAAAAAAAATACTGCTAGATACTGTAAAGGATCCCATAGTAACCATCTCATAGGACGCTATGGAGCCTCCTGAAACTCTTAATAAAGATGGGATTGACATTCCTATATGACTGAGGCAGATTGAGTGATCTTTCATGGGAGCAGTGTTGGACCAGGCAACCTTTGGAGCCCCTTGGGTCAAAGTAACCTGATTCTGCACTGGACTGTCACAAATTTTCCCCATGATGCTGATGATGCTGTGTTTAAGCTTCAGGTCAGCAGACCCACGTGAAAGCTGCCTAACCATGAGGTGTTCCTGATGTTTTCAGAATAGAACTTTCAGGGGGCAGCTAGGTGATGCAGTGGATAGAGCACCGGCCCTGAGTTCATATCTGGCCTCAGACCAAACTTGATGCTTACTAGCTGTGGGACCCTGGGCAAGTCACTTAACCCCAACTGCCTAAAAAACAAAGAAAAATAAAAACAAACAGAACAGAACTTTCTGGGATAGGGTCTGGGCCTGCCTTTGAGCAAAGTTGTCCTCCATGGAAAAGTTTATAACACATCCAGGGCAGTTGCTTCCAGAAAGGTCAAAGAAAACTGATTTTGCAACAGAAGAAATCCATACTGAAGGCCATAAAGTCCAAAGGTACACAGAAATTGACTTTCAAGATATCTTAAAGATGGGAAGATTCCAAAAGAATGAAAAAGATTATATACTATTTTTTAAAAAAGTGACCAAGAAGACATCAGCAACTATGCATCTATATACCTACTTCATCATCTCTAAAAAAACTTTGAAAGTAATCATGCAATATTTTCAGACTTTTCTGATTTATTGATTAGTTATGCTCATTTTTTTTCTACTATTTATTATGTGGGATGGCTCTCTGGAAGGGTAAGGGAGAGATACTGGGGGAAATTATAGTGAAGTAAAAAACAAAAGTAAAACTTATTTTTTAAAAAGAAAGTAATCTGTGCATGGACTGATGAGATCCATCATGGAAAAAGGAAAAGGAAGACTTTCGCACATGGTATTCTGTGTGTTCCCAGTCATATAATCGATTGAGAGAATGAATGATTATAAAAGCAATTAAAATAACAGGAAGGCATCCTAGATAATGGGTAGATCCTTTGTGGATGATTTATGGAAAGCAATGGACGAGAATCACACAGGATGAGGTGATCTTCCAAGGTGGATGAAGTACCCACATCTATCAGACTCATCCACCGTATCCTGAAGTATTTTCATGAGTCCCAAACCTCACAAGCCATCTACCTTCTGTTCATCTAAGGCCAGCCTTCTGCATTGGCAGAGGAGGTAGACACCTATATGGTGTGACCCAATGAGCATAAGGAAGACCCTGCCTCAAAAATATCTCCTGATCAGGATGCCACTGTCAAAGACTGAGTCCTCTGACTTCATTCAGCAAACATATATTAAGCACCTACTATGTGCAAGGTGATGTACAAAGAGGAAGATAAAAATTTAGGGAAAAAAAAACCTAGCCCTTGTGCTCACAATGCTTTCTGGTATGATGAGGCATGGACTTCTCCCTGCTGTCTTTTTCATAAATGCAGAGATTCCCAAGATGATTAATTTGTCAAACTGCTAACACTGCTGATCTCTTCCTCTCAGATTGGAGGGCTCTAGTGTAGCCAGAAGGCTTGGGAAGAAGAGTAGGTGCAAAACACAGAGATAAAAAAGGACACAGACAGAGACAAACTCTGTACACATCTCAATTTTGCCAGTTTGGACTAGAAGCGCACACACAGGCATCCTAACAGTGCTTAGGCCTCAGAGCTTCGAGCATCACAGAAAAATTATGCTATTTTAAAAAGAAGCATTAATTTAATTGCAAAGGTACAAGTTTAGGGTGTGGCTTTGTGGAGATGTTAACTCTTGCCTTCTTCCCTACCATGGGACCTACCTCTGACCTCAGGCCCTGGTTAGAGGGACAAACAGTGCATTACAAAAATAAAAACATTTCTGAGGTTCCTACTTCCCTGTGAAAGTTCTGGGCCCAGACACAAATCTCAGGTAGTGCCATAAGGGCTGGGCTTATTAACTTCCCCTGGGAAGGGAAAGAAGTGTCGCAGGGATAAGGTGCCCTGCAGAGGGATATGAAAGGAATTGAGGCACACATTATTAGAGCTGGAAAGGGCCTTTAAAATAAGCTACTCCAAACTGTTCACTTTACATTTAGGAAACTAAGTTTGAAAGAGGTGAAGAGACTCGTCCAGGATCTCAGTGACCAATTAGTGTCAGAGCCAGGGCATTTCTTGAACTGATGCCTTTTCTATTGTGCCATGCTGCCTAACCCAGATATATTTTAAATAAATTTTTGTTGCTATCTTTTGATTTCTAAATTACCAAATTTCTCCTAGAATCCCAGAATCCCTCCCTTCTAGAGAACCATTCCATATAATGATGTTTTTTTTTTAAGGAAAAAAAAAATTAGTAAAACCAATCAATACATTGAAAAGTTTGGAAATATGTGCAGTTTATCACAGTTATTGACCTTGTACCTCTGAAACTAAGTGAAGTGGGAATGTCTTCTGGTATTTCTTCTTTGGGGCCATGCTTATTCTTTGCCATTTTGCAACATAATCTTTTGATTGCTTTGTGGTTGTTCTTTCCATTTATTTGTATTGTAATAGTCATTGTGTAGATTGATTTTTTTGGTTCTGCTTACTTTGCTCTGTATCAGAATGTGTGAATGCTTCCATGCTTCTCTGCATTCATCACGTCCATTTCTTAACTGCACAATAATGTTCCACTACATTTAGGTACTACATTTACTTTGCCGTTCACCAATGGATGGAATGTAATCCCATGTGTGGGATGCTCTTCCTCCTCCATTCCCACTCCTGACCTCTCTGGCTTCCTTTGAATCCCAACTAAAACCCCATCTTCTACAGGAAACCTTCCCCAACCCCCCCTTAATTTTCGGGCCTTCCCTCTCTTATTAACTTCCTATTAATCTTGCTTATAACTTGTTTGTACATATTTGTTGGCTTCTCATCTCCCTCATTAGACTGCGAGCTCCTGGAGGGCAGGGTATTCCCACTGCTTAGCACAGTACATGGCACATGGCAGTTGCTTAATAAATGTTTCTTGACTGTTTGACTCATGGACATTCACTCTGATTCCAATTATCTGCTACCACAAAAAGGGCTACTACAAATATTTTGATGTATATGGGGACCTCTAATCAATGACCTCCTTGGGGTATGTCTTACAGTGGAATCTCTAAGTCAAAGGGTATGGGCATTTTAGTCAATTAATTAGTTTATTTATTTGTAGGCAATTGGGATTAAGTGACTTGCCCAGGGTCACACAGCTATTAAGTGTCAAGTGTTTGGTCTGAGGATGGATTTGAACTCAGGTCCTCCTGACTTCTGGGCCGGTGCTCCATCCACTGTGCCACCTAGCTGCCCTGATTAGTCACTTTATTTTAAAATGCTTTCCAAAATGGTTGTACTGATTCAGATCTCCACAAACAGTGCACTAGTATTCGTATCTTCTTACAACACCTCTAACATGAATGATTCCAATCTTTTATCATCTTTATCAATTTTCAAGGCATGAGATAAAACCTCAGTTTGATTTACATTTCTTTTATTATTAGTGCATTGGAGCATTCTTTCATGAGGTTGTTAAGTTAGCAATTCTTTTGAGAATTGTTCATATCCTTTGACCTTTGACCACTTATCTATTGGGAAACAGCTTTTAGTTTTATATCTGTTAGTTGTCTTGATTTGGAGTCTCTGAAAGCATATTGATAATTAGTAGCCTAGGATGTCCCATAGGCTTGTCAAACTACACATGTCCAAAAGAAAATTCATCACCCTTCATCTGAACTATTGCAGTGACTTCCACATTGGTTTCACTTCTAAAATCGGATATAAATTTCTCCATTTAGCCTCCATCTACCCAGTGGGCCTTCCATTTTAACAAAGATTTGAAAAAAAAAATTAACACATTAACTGAATTTGACAGAATATGCTATATTCCACACTTGTTGAGAAGTGCGTTTTGTCACATCTTCTCTGGGGCAAAACTTATTCCTGATAACTACACAGCATTCATTTTATTTTTCTTTCCATTTGCACTATTATAGTTATTAAGTATATTGATTTTCCTGGTTCTGCTTACTTCACTCTGCATCAGTTCATATGTCTTCCCATGTTTCTGTGATTTATGTGACTCTAATATTAGTGCAGGAATGCTCCCTTCTATTGACATACCACAACTTATTTAGTTATTCCCCAAGTTAACAGGCATCTATTCTTTTCTAGTTCCTTATGACCACAAAAGGGGATGCAATGACACTTTTGTATATGTGGGACTTTTATTTCTGTCTTTGACCCCTTTGGGGTATATGCCAAGCAGTGGAATCTCTGGGTATAAGCATATGGACATTTTAGTTAATTCGGGGGAGCCTAATTCCAATTTGCTTTCCCAAATGGTTAGACCAATTCACAGTTCCACCAGCAGCATATTCCAGTCTTCCCATGGTTTGTCCAACATTGACCAATTTCATCTTTTGTCATCTTGGATAATTTGCTGGTTATGAAGTAAAATCTCAGAGTACTTCTTTCCCTTGATGACCACACACCTACCATCTTTATGGCAGTGACTCCCACATCTATACATCCAGCCCTCACCTCTTCTCTGAGTTTTAGTCTCTCATCATTAGCTCCCTGTAAGACATTCTTTTTTTAAAACTATATTTTTATTCTGAATTTAAACACTAAATAAGATGAGAATTTCTATATATAAAGTAGAAACAAGAAAGAAGGTTGTTTGTGAAACTGTGACTCTCTTAAGTACTGCTTGCATTTCCTTTTAAGTATATAATGACTTCAATACATAACTTTCAAAGATAGCAGGCTTGTCTGTTTCCTTCTGATTTTCTGTTTTCTTTTGTACATTAAAAAAATGTTTCAATGATCACATTTTCTTTCTTTTATTTTTCTTTTAATATTTTGGCAACCTATCACTAGGCTCCCTTTCCTTGCCATCTCCTGACTCTTACCCGCACCAATGGAAAAAGAAAAAAAAAAACCTTTTAACAAATATGTACCATCAAGCAAAACAAATCGCCACATTAGCTATGTCTTATTCATCCCTCTGTCAGGAGGTAGGTAGGATGCTTCATCATCAGTCCTCTGGAACTACCACTGAATAAGTCTTTCAGATTTGTCTTTCTTCACACTGTTATTATATAAACTGTTCTCTTGGTTCTGCTCACTACTCTGTACCAGTTCATGCAAGTCTTCCTAGATTTCTCTGGTTGCCATATCACTCTGCTGATTCATATTGGGTTTGCAGCCCACTAAAATCCCCAGTTATTTTTCAGGCAAACAAATATCAAGCAAAGTCAAACAAAATAATTTACCTCAGTGGCTGTATATAAAATTATATATGCCTCATTGTGAAACCAAAATCCATCACTTCTCTGTAACAGATATCATATTTTATTATTGGAATCATGAATGGTCATTATATCAATCACAGTTCTTACAGCTTTTAAAGTTGCTTGTTTTAACAGGGTTATTTTTATTGTGTAAATTGTTCCCCTGGTTAATTTAGAGATACAAATTTTCCTCTAGGTACTGCTTTAAATGTATCCCAAAGGTTTATATGTTATCTCATGGTTGTCACTTTCTCTGATGAAATTACTTCTCGTTTTTATGATTTGTTCTTTGACTCATCAATTCCTAAGGATTAAATTATTTAATCTCCAATTAATTTTTAGCCCTTTCTTCAATATTTCAAAATTTATCCTTTGTTGAATATAATTTTTATTGTACTGTGGTCAATAAAGGATGTTTAATTTTTTTGCATTTGTGAGGTTTTTATTTATAATGCACAGTCAATTTTTGTGAAGGTGCTGTATACAAGCTGAAAATTACAAATATTCCTTTCTGTTTCCACTCAATAATTTCCAGAGATCTATCATATCTAACTTTTAAAAAATTCTATTAACGTCCTTAACTTCTTGTTTACCTTTATGTTAAATTTGTTTAAGTCTAAAAGGGATACATTAAGTTTTCTTAATATTATATAGTTTTATTGTCTATTCCTTGAATAACTTTTAAGTATTTAAATGCTATAAAATTTGGTGCATGTATATCAAGAATTTAAAATGGCTATTTTCTGAAGTACTTTAAGTATAATGTAGTTTCCCTGCTTATCTCTTTTAATCCTGTTTTTATTGTTGTCTTGTCTGATATCATGATTATTATCCCTGTTTTCAGAGTTTATCTGAAGCATCATGATTTTGTTGTAGCCCCTTATTTTAGCTCTGTGTGAATCTTTGTTTCAAATATTTTTGTCTTTTTTTGTAAAAATCATAAAAACTTCTTTTGATAAATATTTGCTCACATTCTTTCTTTCTTTCTTTATCCTTTCTTTATTCTTTCTTTCTTTATTTATCCATCAGGAAGTGCCTCTTGTTCGTATATCTGTATTATTTCCTTACATATTTGGATATCAGACCCCGATGCAAAGACTCCCCCCGCCCCACCTGACATTTTTCCTTTTCATTCTAGCTACATTGATTTTGCTGGTGCAAAAGCTTTTCAATTTTATGTATCAAAAATTATCCATTTATTCATAGATCATCGCCTTCTTTTGACAGAAGAAAAACCAAGGCCTAGATACAGACATGAATAAGTCCAATAGGTTGTTAGTATTCATAGACTCTAGAGTTCTCCAGGATAGAACCAAATCCCTTGAACCCTACTGCTTTTCAGTGAAAAGTAGGAAGGTACATATGAACCAGCAAAGACCAAGTCTCGAATTAGAGCCATTAAGAAATCCATCAAAATTCTTACTTTAAGAAACAATTTATATCCTTTGACTCAGCAGTCTCGCTACTGGGCACTTACACTCAAGGGAGTCAAAGACAAAGGGATAGAGATCCCAAGTCCCAGGTCCCAGGTGAATATGCTAATACTAATGGCAGTACATTTTGTGGTATCAGAAAATGGAAATTGAGTAGGTGCCCACTGCTTGGGGAATGGCTAAATAAATTGATATATGAATGTTAATATAATATTATCATATATCAATGATAAATATGAAAAATTCAGAGAAACATGGTTAGACTTGGATGAACTGATACAGCAAGAACCCAGAGAACATAAACAATGACAATAGTAAATAATATGGTAAATAAATAGAAAAAAATTTTAGTAAATTAAAACAGTATTTAAGAAATTGCTAAATTCACAATAAATGGAAGTATCCAGTACTGAATCCAGAAGTCAGAAGACTATGAATGCCAAATGAAGCAGATGAGGACAATCACAGTTGCTATTATTGGTTGGTTTTGCTTTATTCTTTGTTTCAAGGGGTGTGTGGGGGGGGGGAAGTACGTAGGGAAATTAATTGTAGTGTAAAATATATAAAAACATTAATAAAATTCTGTTCAACTATTTACACATTTGGCAAATATAAGAAGGGACAGAAATCCTCACGCAGGTCTCATAGTCACCTTCAGGTATTTTTTATTTACAGGTTGTTGCATTAGGTTCTGTAACATACATCTTCTCTCTAACTTATCTCAGAAGAGAGAAAACCCAAAGTTGTAGTTGTGGTTACTTAGAGGAAAAAGTGCTGTGTTAATCCTACCAGCCACTTACCAGCAGTGGGGTCAGTTGGTGTTTCTCCTTCCTCAGAATCTTCCTGTTCCTGCATGGTCGGCCTCTCTCCTCTTTCCATCTGGGACATAAGGTCTGGTTTGGAAATTGCATAGTCTGTTCAGGAAACAGGAAATAAAAAAAGATCATGGGATAATGTTAAACCAGGTGCTACTAGGATGCTGAAGGTGCATGTGTGCTGTACTAGCAATTGACAACCTCTGAAAAGGGATGTGCTCGTTCCTTTAGATATTAGATAAATTTTCTTCCATATGTTGTGTGCCTCCTCTGTTCTACTAATCAATCTATTTCTTAACCAGTATCAAATTGTTTTAATAATTACTGTTTCATAGTATAATTTGAAACCTAAGTTCCCTTTGCTCCCATTTCTTTTCATTGTTTCTCTTGAGATTCTTCACCTTTTTTCTCTCATATTAATTTCATTATTTTCCTTTTACAATTCTATAAAGTAATCCTTTGGTAGTTTCATTGGTATGGCCTCGAATAAGCAATTTAGGTAGTACTGTCATTTTAATAATATTGACTCATGTTACTTATGAGCAATGACTAATTTTCCATTTTTTAAGGTCTATATTTCTGTAAACAGTTGTTTATAATTTTGTGTGTGTGTATGTGTGTATATATAGATATAGTTCTTGTGTGTATCTTGGAAGCTAGACTCCCACATATTTTGTATATTCTATAGTAATTTAAAATGCCATTTCTCTATCTCTTCTTGCTGGGTTTTATTATCTACAAGATTTATAAATAGTAGAAAAGTACATGACCAAACAAAAAAAGAGAGAGTATTATGAAGATAAAATGGATAATTTTGATTACATAAAATTTAAAAA